GTGTGTATAAGTGGAAACTCCAGAATCTTAAGAGGAGTTTCGCATTTGTGTTGTATTCTCAAAATGGCTATTATCTCACAAATTCTTGAGACAGCATGTTTTTTTATGCATTTAATTTTCATACCATTAACCTGGGGTTGAAATCGTTATTATTATATTTTTTTTCCCCATTTAAACCAATTGACATATGTTTGAAGTTACAAATTCCTATTGCTGAATACCTCGACAAATTTGGACAAATGAAATTGTTAGCATTTAGTCCATTAAAACTGAGTACAACATTTAGATCAGATTATTTCTGCAAATAATTATTAAATGGACAATAAAGTCATTAATATCTAGCACATTGTAAAAATATCCTCCCTCAGACAGTTATCATAAAAGCAATCTGTCTTGTCTGTTTGTTTGTTTGTTTTTTGTCTTTTTTGTATCTTTCTGTTATACAATAAATAAATATACAAACAGTTTGCTTCTAATGCCTGAAGATCTTTAACCAGATATTGAGTCTATCATAAAGTCAAGATAAAAATTAGCACAATACTTGGAAAATTATTATGCACCATTGAACAAACTTTTCATTTATATATGTGCATTTATTTTATTTTATTCATTTTTTTGTTTTTGTTTCATTCTATTGAATTTGCTGTGTAAATGTGATTCTGAAACAGGTTAACTGTTCATCAGACCAATGGCATCAGTTCAGTGGGTGCGAGCTACTCCAGCTGGTTAAAGATCCAGCCACAAAAACAGGTTCTGTTCCAGAGCTACCCAAGCCACAATAAGGGCCAGGAGCCTGAAAAAAACCTTTAGGTGTTAATACCCTTACAGATTAGTATATTAATACAACATCCTCCATACGGAGAAGGCATAGCTCAGCCTTTCGTGGGCCAGGTAGTTACAGCTGGCCAGCTTGGCATCCATCTCATCGCTCTGGAGAACCTGGTAGAGAAAGTCGATGTATCTCGAAGCCAATTTGAGGATCTGAATCTTGCTCAGTTTGTCCGAAGGCAACGTGGGGATGATCTTCCGCAGCGAGGCGAAAGCATCGTTTAGGGACTGCGTGCGCTGCCGTTCCCGGACGTTAGCGATCACCCGTTGCGTGTGGAGGTCCTCGAACGGTTGCCCGGGCACAGGTGACACCGAGCTCACGATGGGCACTAGGGAGGCCGCAGAGGTCGATGAGGAAGGAGGAGAACTCCTCTTGGGCCGCTTGGGGCATGAGGGAGTGAGCGTAGCTGGGCCCTCCAGTGACGTCTTGTCGTCCTGTCCAGCTGGTTAAAGATCCAGCCACAAAAACAGGTTCTGTTCCAGAGCTGCCCAAGCCACAATAAGGGCCAGGAGCCTGAAAAAACCTGTAGGTGTTAATACCCTTACAGATTATTATATTATTAAAAGTAATATCTTAATTTGATGTTTGTTGTAACTGGGTACAGAGCATCCACGATCAGCGCTATTTAAAACAGCATACAGTACAACCTCTGTCTGTATGAATTCTGATATATATATATATATATATATATATATATA